CCCCCTTAAAGTCCTTAAGGTTATTATTGATAGGTCATTACTTATTGCCATTTTAATTCTTTGTGTCTGTTTCTCTCTCTATTTCTTCTTGTTACAGCAGTCCCTTTAACATTTCCTGCAATGCTGGTTTGGCAGTGATAAACTCCTTTAGCCTTTTTTTGTCTGGAAAGCTCTTTATTTCACCATCTATTTTGAATGATAGCCTTGCTGGCTACAGTAGTCTTGGTTTCAGATCCTTGCTTTGCATTACCTTGAATACTTCATGCCATTCCCTTCTGGCCTCTAAAGTTTCTGATGAGAGGTCATCTGACAGCCTTATGGGAGCTCCTTTGTAGAAAACAGATTGCTTTTCTCTTGCTACTTTTAAGATTCTCTCTTTGTCTTGAATTATTGGCATTTTAATTATGATGTGTCTGGACATGGGCCTCTTTGGATTCTCCTTGCTTGGGATTCTCTGTGCCTCCTGAACTTGTGTGAGTTTTTTCTTGACCAGGTTAGGGATATTTTCTGCCATTATTCCTTCAAAGAGGTTTTCTAACCCTTGCTTACTTTTGACCTCCTCTGGCTCTCCTATGATGTGAATATTATTACATTTCATGTTGTCTCACAGCCTCCCTAGACTGTCCTCCTGTTTTTTAATTGTTTTTTCTTTTTGGATCTCTGATTGAGTGATTTTTTTCTATGCTGTCTTCTGATTTGCTGATCCAATCTTTAGCTTCCTCTAATCTGTTGTTTATTCCTTCCAATGTATTCTTTATTTTTGTTCTGTCATTCTTCATTTCCTTCATAGTTTCCTTATATTTTCTCATGCTATTGAGCATCCTTACAATCAGTATTATGAACTCTATATCTAGTAGATTGCTTATCTCCTTTTCTTTTAGCTCTTTTTTGGAGAATTCTCTTGTTCTTTCATTTAGGGCTCTTGTCTTCCCATTTTGGCTGCCTATTTGGGTTTGTTTCTATGTATTAGGTAGGCCTGCTAGGACTCTCAGTCTTTTTGAAAGGTCTCTGGTGTAGGCAAATGTCAGACACTGTTTGTGACTGGCCCTGAGTACCCTGTTTGGAGCTATCAACAACCTACAGCTTGAGGTCCCCTCTGTTGGGACTGGGTGCATTTGGAGAGGACCAAGATACACACCGGAGTCTGTTTTTCCAAGGCCTAGGTCCAGAAGCAGATCAGGCAAAGACTCAAAGCACTCTGAAGTCCACCTCTCCCTACAGGCTGTTTAATCTGATTCTTTTAATGAGCCTCAGGCTGTAGAAACTCCATGGAGTAGGGTGAGAGGTTTTCTAGTTGGGCCGGGGCCGGGCAATTGCTTCCCCCTCAGGCAAAAGCTGCTTGGAAGGTAAAAAAAAAGCTGCTTTTGCAGTATAAGGCAATGACTCAGCATAGGAATCCAGAGGGGTGCCCTCTGAGCTTTATCTCCAGAGCCCACAGCCCTAGATTCTCCTCACACAGCTCCAGTCCTCTCTTCCCTTCCTCTGCTGGAGCCCAAGGTGAGTGGCTGCAAACGAAACTTTGTGTGTTGGCTCTTTAAGAAGGTGACTGCATTTCCAGCCATCTCTCCCTGTCAGACAGAAACCTGGCTACTTTTCACAGCCAGATGTTATGTGGGCACCTTTCTCAGTTCTGGTGCTCTGGGCTGGGAAGCCCAGCCTGGGGTTTAGGCCCCAGAGTCCTCAGTGGGAACCCCCACAGCTGAGATCTCCCTCTGGACCTTCAGCTGCTGCCTGTGGGAGCCCAGCCAGCCCTCTCTCACGTCTGCACTTCCTACCAGTCTCTATGTGGTCTCCACTTTTCCTCCTTGGTTATGAGGGTGCTCCCCAGCTCTTCTTCAGTTGAAGTTGATTATTCAGGATGTTTTTTCTATATTTTAGTTGTAATTCCAGTTTGGTCCTGATAGAGTGTCAGTGTAGCTTCCACTCAGTCTGCCACCATCCTTAATCTCCTTGTGAACTATATTCTTGGTTCAGCTTTTCCTATGGAACAAAATTCTGTCACAGTTTTGAGCTTTGATGGTGGCATATCATCCAAACTAAGAAAGAGCCCTTCCTTTCTCAACTGCCAAATATAATCTGCAGGCTTCAGTAGGATTGGACCAAATCAGGTCACATACACACTATGTGCCAATTATTCCAACTAAACCTGCTCTCATCTGGGGTCAAATTTGCCCCCTGAGGGACATTTGGCAGTATCTGAAGATATATTTGTCAAAACTGAGAAGGTGCTACCCGCATCTGGTTTAGTAGAAATGCTGCTAAAAATTCTACAGTGTGCAGGACAACAGTCCATCACAGAGTTATCTGGCCCAAAATGTCAATAGTGCAAAAGATGAGAAATCTTTAGACAAGGGGTTCTCAAACTTTAATGTATATCAGAATAATCAGAAAAGCTTGTTCAAGCGTATTTCTAGTTTCCACTTTTTTATTTTTTTCATTTAATAGGTCTAGAGAGGGGCCCAAAAATTTCTTTTTCTAACAAACTCATAGGTACTGCTGCTGGTGGTGACTCATAGTGCACACTCCAAGAAACACATTCATTAAAGCCCCAGATTGTAGCTGAGAGTGCGGTCAAGCATACAACCACATCCCCACTCTATAAGATGAGGTAGAGTTTAATGCATTCTGGAGAAATAACCCACTATTCTAATTGAGAGAGGAGAAAGCTATATTTTCAGCCATTTTTACCCTTCCCAAATCCTAAAGCCAATATCGTCCTAAAATTTCCAGGTGAGGGAACTGCTTCCAGTACCCTTAGCTCCTCCAAAAGCTCTGCTTGCTCTCACTTCCTTTTATAGAGTCTAAAAAAGGATACTCAAGTTCTCTCCACTTCCCTCCTGCTGCTGTTTTAATAAAATGAAATTGGATATTTTTTAAATGGTATTTTCAGAAAACAATGGAATAAGCAAAAATCGAATAAATGTAAATCAAAGATCAAACTGAATTGATATACCACAGATGTCAAAGTCCCTGAAGGCCAGAAAAACCCTCTTGATTTTTACTTGACTATTTAACAGCCTTTTGTATTATCCCTCATACATCCCACTTCTCATTCATTCTCACTGAAAAATGAGGAGCAGGATCCTCTTCTGATGAGTCTTTGTAGGTAAACTCTAGTTACAGTATTGGCACAAGTGGTTTTCTCCAAAGGGGTCAGGGCAAAAACAAGGAGAACATTTTTTTTTTAATTCTTTTTTTTATACTCACCTGAGGATATTTTTTCCATTGCTTTTGAGAGTGGAAGGGAGAGAAAGAGAGACACATTGATATGAGAGAGACACATCAATTAGTTGCCTCCCACTCCTGCCCTGATTGGGGGGGAGCCTGCAACCGAGGTATGTTCCCTTGGCCAAAATCGAACCTATCACCCTTCAGTCCAAGGCCCAACACTCTAACCACTGAGCCAAACCAGCTAGGGCGATTTTTTTTTAATTTTTATATTTATTTATTTATTGCTATGTGAGAAATATTTCAATAAGAAGAAAATCTAGAATATCAACTAAAAATAATAAAAGGAGATTTAATACAACTAACATATGAAATATCATAGCTTAGCCTAGCCTACCTTAAACATGTTCAAAACACATGCATTAGCCTATAGTTGGGCGAAATCACCTAACACAATAAACACATTGTAGAGTATCGGTTGTTTATCCTTATGATGTCAAGGCTGACTGGGAGCTAGGCTCACTGCCACTGCCCAGCATCACAAGAGAGAATCATACTACATATTACTAGTCCAGGGGAAAAAATCAAAATTCAAGTACCATTTCTACTGAATATGTACTGCTTTCACACCATTAGAAAGTGACAAAAAAAGGGTAAGGTAAGGTAAGTCAGGCACCATCGGTAGTTTATTTTATTTATTCCAAGATACATCCTTTCTCACATCTCACATCTATTAAATCTGGGTGCTATCATATAATAAAGTCGCAGCTCTTAATTATTTTCCTGTTAGTGTGTAAATTACATCTCACAATCTATGGGAACTCCTAGTTGATCAAATATGATAATTATTTGATTAAATATGATGAGATTGACTCCTGGGCTGGCAGCTTGAGCTTCTTATCTTCTAGGTACTTATTCCAAATGGGAAAAGAGACATGATAAAATCTCACGGGATATTCTGATATGACCTGTTAAGAACACAAACAATTTTAGCTCTACATAAGAGGTATTTGTACACCTGTTTCATAGCAGCATAATTCACAATGGCCAAAAGATAGAATCAACCCAAGTGTCCATTGACAGGTGAATGGATAAACAGGTTATATAAATACAGTGTAATATTATTAAGCCTTCCTTAAAAAGGAAAGAAATTCTGAATCATGAGTACATTATGGTAAGTGAAATAATCCAGTCATAAAAGACAAATACTGAAGATTCCACTTATATGAGGTGTCAAAAGCAGTCAAATTTATGTAGACAGAAAGTAGAATGTTGGTTGTTTGGGCCTAGATGACCAGAAAATAAGATGTTGTTTAATAGGTATAGAGTTTTAGTTTTTCTAGATGAAAAAGTTCTAGAGATTGGTTGCACAAAAATAGGAGTGTAATTACTACTATTAAACTATGCACTTCAAAATGACTAAGATAAATTTTATGTCATGTATATTTTACCACTATTAAAAAACAGATTTACATCAAAAAGATGAGCCCGGCCAGGTGTGGCTCAGTGGTTGAGAGTCAGCCTAGGATCCAGGAGATCGAGGTTTGATTCCCGGTCAGGGCACATGCCCGGGTTGCGGGCTCGATCCCCAGGAGGAGATGTGCAGGAGGCAGCCAATCAATGACTTTCTCATCACTGATGTTTCTATTTCTCTCTCTCCCTCTCTTTTCCTCTCTCTGAAATCAATAAATATAAAAAAAAAAAAAAAAAAGATGAGAATTGGGGAGAAAGTGCAAAAAGTCTTGTGGAAAGATTGAGGCTAAAGTGATATAAATAGATAAAAATGGTATAAAAGAATGAGAGGTTAACAGAAAAAAAGATTTTGTGAAAACTTACCAGCGCCGCCAAAACCATACTGCAAGACATATCAAGAGAATCGAGGTGGGCAATATGACTGCCAACAATATCACACTGATGCGGGAGACAGAAGATCCTGGCAATTGGGAGAAGACACAGAGATGTCACTTCAAAGCCCATTCTCTGATTCACCGGCCCTTCCTTTGCTCACCTAGGGGTCAGCACCATCATTCACCTGCTTCTGACGTGTGGGCGTATCCAACTCCCTCTCTCATATTTTCTAACAAAATATATCCATATCTATCTTCTATCTCTTCTTCTTGCCCCACCTCACCCAATACTATATAGGTTCATAATTCTTACTTATTTTATATCTTAGGTCAGCAATTTCCAATATTTTTCATCTCAAGGCACACATAAACTAATTATTAAAATCCTGCAGCACACCAAAGAGTATATTTTTTGCTAATCTGCCCCCAAAATGGGTATAATTTTGATTCATTCACACCAGACATCTATTGTGATGGTGTTGGCTGTTGTCATTTTTTATTTGACAATCTCAGGGAAAAGAGGTCAGAGCCCCTGACTAAATAGTCGGGTATTGCATGTTTTTAAAATTCTTGCAGCACACCAGTTGAAAATCGCTGCCCTAGGTCATTTCTTTCTCTCATTTTTCCTCCTTCTTTCTACTCCTCCCTTCCTCTCTCCTTATTTCTCTCTCTCTCTCATATAAAATCTCACCATTTTGCCAGTCTTGCCCTCTATGTTTGAGGGTCCGCTCTTCCCATTCCCAGCTGGGCCCCAGTTCTTTCTCACCCCAGTAGAGGACGATGTCCTGGCCTCCTAGACTGCTGTGCCTCACTCGGCAAGTCAGGCCAGCTGCCTCCCCGGCGGCCACATCCAGGGTTACTCGGAGATACCACGTCCCATCAGCATTGGGCAGGACATCACCTTGATGAGTCCCCGGCTGCTCCTGCTCACCCCTCATCCACGTCACCCGGACAGGTTTGGGGTAGAATCCGGAGGCATGGCACACCAGCAGCAGACGGCCAGGACCAGGAGGGGGACCACTGGACAGCCAGGCCTTGGGCTTCACTGGGCAGGAAGAGCAGGGACAATGTCACATCATGACTCTAATCCAGAGCATAGGGACTCAAAAACCCACAAGCTTGGACAGTGACAGTTCCACTCCTTTGGAAACCATATAATGTATTGATCAAGCCCCTCTGCTGTGCATCCTACTTGAGTGTACAGCGGTGGTGGGACGTGAACAAGAAAACCCTTGAGGATAAGAGAGGACTAACCTTGCCTCTGCAGTTCCGCCTTCCCTGCCTCGAGGACACCCAGGAGGAATCGAGGGCAGGTTTCTAAGAGGAGCTTCGTTATGATATCAGCGATGCCTTCGTACTGACTGAAAAGTGTGCAGAACCACTGTGCCCTGCTGCCGCCCGCAGCACTGGGCACACAGGACCCATTCTCGAAGCTCAGGAAGCTCAGTCCTCCCAAGGCCCCCATCAGGAAGCTCTCCGTGGTCTCCCCAGAAAGCAGCTGGCAGCCCGCCATGCCCTGGATCTCAAAGGGGTCTGCATAGAAGGAAAACAGAGAAAGGCATATTTAAGAGCAAACAAGAAGGAAATGGGTGGAGAAAGGACCTAGGATATTTTATTTGGGTGAGATGTAAAGTGATGGGCGGACGCCCAATTCAGTCCAGTCATATGCAGCATAACAGCTTTTCAGTCAACAGCAAGCCCCGTATGTGAAGGTGGCTCCCTAAGGTGTAGTGGAACGGAGCTGAAAAGTCCCTGCTGCTGGTGACGTAGCCGCTGTAAGGACGCCAGGGCACCGTGCGCGCTGATGCGTTTGTGGTGGTGCTGGTGCAAGCAGGCCCGCTGTGTTGCCAGTTGTATAAAGTATAGCAATACAATATGTACAGTACAGAATACTTGATAATGATAACAAATGTTACCAGTTTATGTATTTATTATACTATTTATTGTTATTTTAGAGTGTACTTTTTCTACTTCTAAAAAAGAGGTTTCCTATAAAAAAGTGTGCCAGTAACAGCCTCATACATCTCACGTTTACTGCGTCTTGTGATTGCATCAGTTTCTCTTGTGCTTGATTTAATCTCGTGGTTTTCCACAGTGACGTGCTGTACAGGATTGTAGCCTAGGAGCAGCAGGCTACGCCACATAGCCGAGGTGTGTGGCAGGCTACCCCATCGAGGTCTGTGTAAGTGCACTCTATGATGTTCACACAATGAAACTGGCAGAACCTACGCATTGGTAAGAACCTAATTAATTTCTCAGAACCTATCCTCATTGTTAAGCTGTCTGGCTGTGCTCACAGACTTTTCAGAAAGAAGAGCAGGGGAGAAGCACGCATGTCAGAAACAGTGGAGAAGGGCTGCTGTAATGACATACCCGGGGTAAGAAGAAAGAAGAGAGGGAAAATGCGAGGGACAGGGCGATGAAGTCACGAGCACAACGTTCCAGGAGAAGCAGGAGGGTTGCATTGAGAGGCGGGAACGGGCTGGAAATGCTTGAACAGATGGGTTGAAGAAAAAAGGAAGTCACACTTTAGTTTACTCAGGCACAGAGCAGGAAAAGTGAGGGCTTCTTGCTTGGGGTTTAAGAGAAAAAAAGTTAAATATAAACAAGCCAGGAGATGGTTCCAAAGGGGTATCTTTATCAGACAAGAGTGCAGGAAGCAGGAAAAACCTGAAATAGCTTGTGGAGATATGGAGTCTAAGTGGAAGACATCTCTAGAGAAGTATGTGCATACTGTTGGATAAATTAGGAAGAAGAGAAAGCTCCTGGGGTGAGGCAACCTGAACCAAGAGAGAGAGAAAATCACTGATAATCTCTCCAGAGAACAGCACTCACATTTCATCTGGAATTCACTGACATGATCCTGTACCACCCGAACAAATCCGATAAAATATATTCGAAATATCTCCTCCAGCTTAGCTATTTCCTCATTGCTGAAGTTGCCCTTGGACCAGGGCTTCAGGAAAATGGCAGTGCCTGAGTCACTGTCCCAGCCATGAATCTGCAAGTCACCCAGCCAGCCAGAGCCTTGATTTTGTGCCCAGGTGCTGTTGGCAAAGGACGATATCTGGATGAGATGGAAAGAGATCGGCTCCTGGAACGCTGTGGGTAGTGGAATAAGAAAAGTGGGAGAGAAAAAAGAGAGAGAAAGTCAGGAGGAAATGGGGGGGGGGGATGAAAACCAGAAAGATCCACAGAAAAAGAACCCAGAGTCTGCACAACAAAATGCCTGAGACATGGCCTGTGCCAGGGCCTCAGGCTCCATCCCCCACCTCCAAAACAGAAGAAGAGGGCTGGAGACAGGTCGCCCAGACCCCAGTATGTGCAGCTTGCTTCATCCAGACCCCCTACGCCCACGCCGGGAGAAGCCAGAGTTCCTCTTACCATGCCTGGGCTCGTTGTCACCACCTGGGGTGAGATCTGCTAGCAATAGAAGCGGTAAAAGCAGCATTTCACTGGGAGGTAGAGCTTCTGACTCTAAAAGCTGGTGTTTGATCTCTGAACCCAGCAAACCTTTTTCTCAGTGCTTTATAGTGACTTCCTCTCTCTTCCAACTGACAAATCTCTGCCTCATTCACATTGTACATCAGAGAAAACTGTCCCTCCCACAACCCCGGCCCTGCCCCTCTGCCTCTCATTTCCACTCCAGCCCCTGACTTCCAGGTTCTTTCTTCTCATCGCCTTGGCTTCTAGCCCTTCTTTCTGACCTCGGCTTTCTTCATGCTACCTTGAAAAAGCCCCATATGATTTTGAAAGGCTATTTTGTAACATCTGTTAAGTAAGACCGTAATGTTAAACAATGGCCTGCTTTAATCTAGGAATATTCTTTTGGTCTGTCCACCCAACTCTCTACCCTCCTCCTCACGGTCCTCTCCTCTCTGGCACTCTATCATCACCTCTTCCCAAAACTCTCAATGGCTCCTTTTTTTTTTTCAATCTCATCCCCCTTGTCTGATCTTCCTAACCCCATATTCTTGTTTCTCTGTGTGTGTGTTGTGCGTGCTTGTGTGTGTGTGTGTGTTTACAATAATTTACAAAAGGCAAAGCATGTAAAACATTTGCCTGGCCCTAGCCAGGTGGCTCGTTGATTGGAGCATCTTCCCGTCCACCAAAAGGTTGCAGATTTGATTCCCAGCATATGGAAGGCAACTGAGCAATCTCGCTCCCTCTCTCGCACTGATGTTTCTTTCTCTTCTTCTCTCTCTAAAATCAATAAAAAAATATCCTCGGGTAAGAATTTTTTTAAATAATGATAAAAAATAAAATAAAATAAAACATTTGCCTGGACTGGAGACCCAAATTCCAAAATCAAATAAGATAAATACTGCAGCTTATAATATAAGAAATTTTTGAAAAGAGAAATTGCATTGGCTACTGGCATATGAGCTTTATAGTAGCTCTTGACCTCTGAAAGTTTGAGTAACAAACTTTTATGAAATAAGCAGAACTTTGGGAGTTATGCTACATGCAGCTTCAGGCTGAGTCAAAGACAACGTATTTTTTTGTCTATCCATTTGTTTGTTTTTTTCCTTAATCCCGTCACGTTTTTCACTCAGCCCTGCCAAACCTCCTCCCCATGACACCTGTCAGTCCTTTCTCTTTAGCTATGAATCTGTTTCTAATTTTTTTGTTCTTCTTGTTGTTCATTAGATTCCACATATAAGTGAAATCATATGATACGTGTCTTTCTCTGACTGGCTTATTTTACTTAGCATAATACCCTCCAGGTCCATCCATGCTGTTGCAAAAGGAAGATTTCCTTCTTTTTTATGGATAAGTAGTAGTCCCTGGTGTAAATGTCCCACAGCTTTTTTATCCACTCATCTACTGATGATGGGCACTTGGGCTGCTTGCAAATCTTGGCTACTATAAATAACACTGCTATGAACATAGGGGTGCATATATTCTTTCAAATTAGTTGTATTTCTTTGGATATCTTTGCAGAAGTGGAATCACTGAGTCATAAGGCAGCTCCATATTTAATTTTTGAGAAAACTCTGTACTGCTTTCCACAGTGGCTGCACCAATCTGAATTCCTGCCAACAGAACATGAGGGCTCCCTTTTCTCCACACCCTCTCGCCAGCACTTGTTTTTTGTTGATTTGTTGATGGTGCCATTGTTACAGTTGTGAGGTGATACCTCATTGTGGTTTTAATTTGCATCTCTCTGATGATTAGCGACTCTGAGCATCTTTTCATATGTCTACTGGCCATTTGTATGTCTTTTTTGAAGAAGCATCTATTTAGGTCCTTTGTTCATTTTTAAATTTCGATTGTTTTTCTGTTGGTGTTGAGTTGTATAAATTCTTCATAAATTTTGAATATTGATTCCTTATCAGATGTATCATTGATGAATATGTTCGCCAATTCAATGGTTTGTATTTTCATTTTGTTGATAGTTTCCTTTGCTGTGCAAAAACTTTTTAGTTTGATTTAATTCCATTTGTTTATTTTCTTCTTTTGTTTCTTTTGCCCTAGGGGGTATATCAGAAAAAACATTGCTATGAGAAATGTCTGGCATGTTACTGCCTATGTTCTCTTCTAGGATTTTTATGGTTTCCAGTCTTAAATTTTAGTCTTTAATCTATTTTGAGTTAACTTATGTACATGGTATAAGAAGATGATCTGGTTTCATTTTTTACATGTATCTGTCCAATTTTCTCAGCCTCACTTATTGAATAAACTGTCTTTACCTTATTGTATGTTCTTTCCTCCTTTGTCAAATATTAATTGACCATGAAGGCATGGATTTATTTCTGGGTTCTCTATTCTGTTCCATTGATCTATATATCTGTTTTTATGCCAGTACCATGCTGTTTTGGCCCTGTAGTATAGTTTGATATTAGATAGTGTGCCTCCTCCAACTTTGTTTTTCAAGATTGCTGTGGTGGTCTTGCTGGGTTGCTCAGTTGGTTGAAACTTTGTTCCAATATGCAAGGTTGAAGGTTTGATCCCTGGTCAGGGCATATACAAGAAACAACCAGTAAATGCCTAAATAAGTGGAACAAGTCCATGTTTCCCTTTCTCTCTCTCTCTCTTTCTCTCTCCCCCTTCCTCTCTCTAAAATCAATAAATAAAATAAAATAAACACACACACACAAAACAACAACAACAACAACAGGTGCTGTGGCTATTTTGGCTTTATTGTAGTTCCATATAAATTTTTGGAATATTTGTTCTAGTTCTGTAAAATACACCATTGGTATCTTGATAGGAATTGCACTGAATCTATAGATTGCTTTGGGAAGTAAGGACATTGTAATGGTGTTAATTCTTTCTGTCCATGAACACAGTATATCTTCCACTTATTTATATCTTCTTCAGTTTCTCACTTCAGTGTCTTATAATTTTTCAAGCACAGACCTTTTACATCTTTGGTTAAATTTGCTCCTAAGTAGTCTGGCCAGTGTGGCTCAGTGGTTGAGCATTGATCTATAAATCAGGAGGCCACAGTTCAAGTCCCAGGCAGGGCATATGCCCTGATTGAGGGCTCAATCCCCAGCAGGGGCCGTGCAGCAGGCATTGGATCAATGGCTCTCTCATCATTGATGTTTCTATCTCTCTGTCTCTCTCCTTCCTCTCTCTGAGAGGAAGAACCACCAATTCTGCAGTTCTCAGAACTACCTTCTCTTTAGTACTTTTTTATTCTCAAAGCATGTATCTCTTTGAATGTACACTAAGACAATGTGGGAACTCATATTAATTCATATGGCATCCTCTTCAAGGCTATCTGCACTACCTCTCTGTTCCTGCCATGTCATTATTAGTGGTATATTTAGAGTAGACTTCACCCAAAATCATCACTGTCTCATTATAACTCTCCAAACCCCAAACTATGTAAATCTAAACAATAGTCTCATAATCCAATAGGTGATAGAATCTAATTCATCTTTTGGCTGACAGCCACAGACAACATCAGAGACCTAACATTACCTGCCTTTGACATTAACGTTATTTTTTTCTTTGTAAGCCTTGAGTTTTGGATAGGACATCTAAGATTTATTAACTGTACTACAGATTAACTAACATAAACAAATTTTAAGAACTTTGTGGTGTGCAAGCATAATAAGCAGATTAATTCTCCCACACAATAATGAGGCAGTGATAATCTTGGATGAAGGCGACTCTAAATATTTGAACCATTTTTTTCTGGGAATAGAGAATATTACATTACTTATTTTGCATTTTCTTTTTTTTATGTAAATAGGATCAGATAGTGAAAACTCCAAACACATGACAAGTTTAATTGCCACATTTTTAGTGGACGATACATAGATTTGCACAACTTTGTTATTTTTTCCTTAAATGGATGCTATATATTTTGTTAAAACTTGCCAGGGGCATACAAAAAGAAGATAGGAGATGATATCTTAGGACAAATATCTCTAAACTTTTGGTAAAAAAATGAGAAGCCCCTTGCTCAGCTCATAATGCTTTATTTGCTGATAGGATACACCAAAATACAGATTAAAGTTGTGAGATATTACAAAAGGGGGAAAGGGTACTCCTGTTGATGAGCCTTATACAAAAGTTATCCTTAGTGCACATGGGACATTTTCTAGGGTAAACCACACATTAGGACACAAAACAAGTTCCAATAAATTTAAAAAGATTGAAATCATATCAAGCACCCTTTTTGACCACAATGGTATGAAACTATAAGTCAATAACAAGGAAAACACTGAAGAACACACAAACACATGGAAGATAAATAACATGTTACTAACAATGAATGTGTTAACAAGATCAAGGAAAAAATCAAAACATAATTTGAAACAAATGAAAATGAGAGCACAACAATCCAGAATCTATGGTGCACAGAAAAGGCAGTCCTAAGAGGGAAATTTATAGCATTAAAGGTCTACCAAAAGAAACAATAAAAATGTTATTTTTTTCCTTGTTGGACAAAATCCAAAAATTATCTTTAAAGCTAGCATTGATTAGAGTCCAAATATTTTACTCAATGGATGCTATTTATTGATTTTCTGTTTGGGTGATCTATCTAGAGCTGTCAATGGAGTATTAAAGTTGCCCAACTAAGATTGTATTTTTATCTGTTTCTTCATTTCTGTGAGTAGTTGATTTATATATCTCAGTGCTCCCTGATTGTGTGCCTATATATGAAGAAGTGTTATATCTTCTCAATGCAGTATCTCCTTTATCATTATAAAATATCCATCTTTATCTCTTGTTATCTTTGTTATTTTGAAATCTATTTTGTCAGATATAACTATGGCAACACTTGCTTTTCTGTGGATGTTATTTGCTTGGAGAATCATTTTCCCCCCTTTTGCTTTGAATCTACCTTTGTCTTTGCAGATTAGATGTGTCTCTTGTAGGCAGCATATGGTTGGGATTATGCAAAAGAAAGTTTCACATATACAGTGGTTTTTATCTTCTTTTGAATGAATCTAACCTCCACCCTCCTTTGCAAACTCAGACCTTTATCCT